ATAAGTAACTTTCTTTCGATTATGGCAAAGCTAAATTAACACATATCGTGTCCGTAACCAGTAAGCAATTTAGATTAAAATGTCTATTATTTCCCATATATATATACGTTCATATATGTATATAGAATCGTACGCATTGTTGCTAAAGTCTGTAAGAATAACTTATCAAAACTAAATGGATAAAAGAATACGAAAGTAAAGGAATTTCTCCGCGATTTTCCTTTATCAATACTTAGATTAAAAACATACTTAGAATTTATATATGTCTATATATATATATACATATATATATATATATATATACAGACGTATATTTCAATCGGTAGACTGTCAGAGTTAGAATTGCGTAAACCTTCTCTATTTACAGATAAAAGCGTAATTTATTTAAGTTTATATTGAAACAAAAAATACTGTATGATATTATTACACTATAGTTAATTGTCTGATAATGTACGCCTTTCTCGTCTCAGTGTCAGAACAGGGAGTAGGCTTAAATACCATGCCTCACTAACTGAATGTTGTGTGCCTAAATCAATCAGCTGTAGATATACACTGTTCCTTATTATTCAGAATGATTCATCAGTTGGCAACAAATCCTTCCAGGCGACACTCTGACTACTAATTGGGAACTGTGTTCTTTGGAAAAACCAAAATACTTATCACACTGTCGTTTAGGGAAGACCCAAATGATTCTCTTCTTAACATTTTCTGTCAGTCAGTAGTCAGTCTTGCCAAGGATTCCTTTAAATGAGACCAATGTATTTCAATTTCACTTTATTATTATGTAATCCTACCAGTCATTTTCAAGGTATGAATTTACAATGTCTTTTCGGAAATTCCTCTTAGTAGCCATATTGTTTTCAGTATACTTGTTACTCATGTATGGGAGAAAGATTGAAGGTAAAATGAAAGTCTGTTTTTTCTTATTATAGCTTGAAATTTTGCAGGTCGACCATTGATATCAGATATGCGTCGGCAGGGGATCGAATCCCGGACTATGTGCATAGTCGGCGAGAGTCCTAACCACTGTGCCACCGATAAATCAGCTGCTGGATCAGTAGTCCGGAACTCCACCAGTTAAGCAACTAGTTTAGACAGCTAACATGGTCATCATCACGGGTAGAGAATAGTGTATCAATTATTTACGTGATGACTAGGTATTATTCGTGTCTGACTGCAGTGAAATGATGACCTCATTAAAATTTGTGTTCTGAGACCCATTTGGTAGGTTATTGGCCTGCTAATTAGGAAGCAGCTTGAATAAACCTTATAACTACTTACATTTTCACTTCATCTTTTATCATCACCCCTTACATTATTGAGAATCTACCTACCGAAGTCTATCTCACATATTTCGACCATCAATTAACGACCTGTTATTCGCCTCCTGATTCAGTGAAATTAAGGTTGACAGGCAAAGACTTGGCTGAAATCATAGTCTGATAGCAGATTAGCAGTGTTATAGTATTTAACCATATTGTCATATAATTCCCAATTGTTCATCAGCTATCCATATAATTAGTATTAGTAGTTATTATGTCCGAATGAGTGCGTCGGTGGCACAGCGGTAGAGTGCTCGCCAACCACGCAGGTGGTCCGGGGTTCAATCCCCGTCCGACGCAATCCTTTACCTCACTAAGGCAGTTATGAGACTGGTTAAGAGGGAAGGTTGGGTATGAGGCTAGCAACCACATCCTGTAAAAATAAATACCACTGTTACTGAAACTTTAAGCCTTTAGCTTGAAGCCCTATGTTCCACTGGAGGAACGTAAAGGAGTAGAAAAAACAATAAGTGAATGCACAAAATTATCAGGCTATGGACAAGTTACTATCGCTGGTTTATATCTAATATTTATTTATGAAGGTATATTTATCACAGATAAATCTGAGATGATCTAGCTGGTAAGAGTAATGTCCACTCACATGTCATCCTAAACAAATTAAAACTGATACAGAAGTTAGTTAAACTGATCCATTATACTCCTTTAATCTAAGAACTTGTTTTGAATTATTCCAGTTATAATTAATCACCAAACGCTTAAGACGTTTTCTCAGGACGTATTTTTAGAATACGCGTAAGACAGGTTTAATAGATAATATAAGAAAAAGAAAGCTTTCGAAAGGTATCTGGTTTGGTTTATTGCACCGTTAAGATTTGTTAGATGTTAAGAGGCAAGCGGCAGGAAGCTTTGGACTTAGATTGCGTGCTTGATGGCACTCGTCAGCGAAGCGTATCTGCAATCTTCAAGGAACTCATGTCCCTTCTGAGGTTCGAACCAGTGTCACCCAGTCCTGCAGTTAGAGTCGTTACTACTACGAGCTATTCGGCCTCCTCTGACTGGACACTAGGTAGTGACCAATGTCATTAGTCTAGTCCTTGATCTGATGCAGAGTGAATTCTATAAGTTAAGCTTTGTTTAAACACATGATCAACACCAATTGACTCCAAGATCAGTTCCCAGAGTTGGCAGCATTTTATGTTAGAAATGCAGCCACTTTCCTTTACTTGTAAGAAACAGAAATTTATACGGTTTTCGAACCAATCAGCCAAACTAAATAACATTTCAACTTACGCTGAGTACCTGCAGCCATGTGGATCCATTTTTTCTATTAATCGCATTCAGACTCGAATTTTATGTGTATCTCACTTCTTAAAATTAATCCTTCTTTTACACTGAGACTAATCGTCAAAAAATGGTTTATAGCTGTAAATGTTATTTTTTTAATAAAATGCTTCAAAAAATAATTTAGTTTATTTAGTATCTGTACAAAAACACTCGTTGGAGAACTTTGCCATCCTATGTAGTATTACTTTACAAATAGTCAAAAACCACAAGTTTAAAAGTGTTTATTAAGTCACAAAATTTTTCAAAAAATGTAAATCTTGGTTCCAGAGGATAAACCTTTTCTCATTATTATGGTTAGAACGTCACTGGAAATCATTTAAGTAAATAAAATTTTCAAGACAGTATTGCTATAAGTCAAAGCACGTTTGTTTCTACACTGATTTAGAATACGAGTATTCTGTAAGTAGAATTAGAATAAATGCTGTTGTAATGTACATATGAATGGCTTTTCAGTCAGAATAACTGCCGCGAACAAAGCCGGCTTGGGTCAACGAAAGTGATACTAGTCTCATTTGTGATTAATAATAACTTTCAATAATTTATATTTTAATTAAAAGCTAATTAACCTGAAAAAAACTAAAACATTCTTGTTCTGTTTTTAATACATATCATAAGAAACCAGAAAACAACGCACTAGAAAAGATTTATTCACTCAGTTCTCTATTCCAGTAATCAAATCACTTAGACTCTGCATTATTATGAGTATTTAGATTTTCCAATTTTAAGGAGTAATTTCAGTTACAGCTCAACTATTACAGAATAAAAAGGTGTTTACTTCAGTCTGAATACTTTCTGGATAACTCTCTTAATCAATTATTAGTCCTAATGATAAACCATTCTACTGTACACTTGCATATGCACATATATTTCCCCTGAATAGCTCACTGGTAAAACCCCTACATGAAGCAATGTGTGACATGAGTTTGAATCTCTGAGCATAAATCAGTCATTTGAAGTTTGCGGATACGCCTTGCTGATGAGTTCCAGAAAGTGTGAAACCGAAGTCAACGTATTCTTGCCCATTGTTCTCCCCTAATTATCATCAGGGTAAAATGTGATGGCAAATCACTTAGATTGTCTGCATAATTAAAAATGTGAATGATAATACTGAGCCAGAAAAAAATAGACATAAAATATTCGTCACCTGAAACTGACCAAATAATGTAGTATGTGAACTAGAATTAAGAGCTGATTATGTAAATAAGTTGGATGACAGAATATAAGTAAAAGAGTCTAGCGTAGTTCAGGAATACAAATTTAAAAAAGCAAAAGATTTACATTTGATAAGGTATAAAGGTGACGTAATTTAACGGAAGAAGAATCAAAAGAACAATTTCCATAGGTAAAATGTAAAATGTTCTGATGGCCATCTCTCATGCAAATCTAGGCAATTGAGACCTGAAAATGATAAATGTTATAAGTTTTACAGTTTGTCGTAATTCTCTCTGAACCTTCTTCATTACATCCCTACGTATCGTCTAAATGACATCAAAGCTGGATATTTTCTGGGTTTCTGTATGCTTTATATTCGGTCATGGATGGTTTATTGATAGGTCACTAATAACTTCTGTTGATCCTAATAAAGCTTCTATTTGAATTTCTCAGCACATCTTTTCTGAACGAATTTTTGTGTTGAAGTTTGACCACCAGCTGACATTCGCTAGAGAACATATGAAAACCAGAGAATACTGGATAGCTGTTTTGTCCCAATTCAGGTCTCTTCATTAGTGAATGCCAGTAAAGGTTCGAACCCATGACCTTCCGGTTACAACGAAATCTGGTAGACTATTCAGCCACGAGGACCCGACTCAATCGCCCATGAATTCGAGCTTCTACCAGTTTGTGAGTCGGCGAGTGTTTGTCCTCACGACCGATTCGGGATTACTGGATATATTTTTCGGAATACCAAAATTCAAACCTGGTAACAAGCTGACTTGACCCATAAAAAGTTTCACTAGGTTAGAAACAGAAATTAGGTTTATCTTTCCTCACTAATTTATGATGCTACTTATACAAAGCAGAACAAGAAGGATTTCAATAAGTATGTGGCAAACCTTGAGACTCGGTATTCCATTAAAATTAACCATTCATTTCGGAAAATGCAGCAGAGAACAGATTTAAGTGATTACTGCACTATAATAAGTCGCCTGATTTTCTTAATATCCTGCAGTTTTTGATATCAATGCAAGTATGACACTTTCCTTTTACAACTTTAGACCATATGTACACCTCCGTTAGAAGAAGATCGGCTTGAAGTAAATAACACAAGGACAGTTTTTAATTTTAAAACCTGTTATAGAGAATACGTCTCATTTAGGTCCAGTGATTACATTTTTTAAAAAGCTGTCTTTACAATAACCAATAACAACTTACCTCATTTAGATAATCTGAAATGAGATCAGACAAATCCCTAGAGAATATAGGCACCATTAGAATAACATCACAAATGGAAGAGTTTTGAGACGTTTTATCATCTGGTGGCATCAGTTTTCCAATGCACAACAGTTTAAGTTGTTCTACTGCAGTATCACTAAAATTGGAAGAAAAAAAGGAGCATTTTAGAGATAATTTTTCAGAAGGTGTCAAAAGGCTAAAATCTATAAGGCCAATAAATCTTGTTAATGTAAACTTCATCGGGAAACAGTGAATTTAAAGTCTGATATCAAAGGCTTTATTTGATTCACCTGGTGTTGTTTGAACAAATATTCTTATTCTCAATACTCTCCATAATTGTTAAGTGATGACTCGGCTCTGGACGTCTTTTCTTCATTCCCTGCATTCCACGTGGAATTTAAGGCTTTAGCTTAGAAGTTTTGGTAGTTTTGATGTTGTTCTTGCTAATCTTGCTCTTTATTTCACCTTTTACCCGATCCTACTACTACCACTCAATAAACTAGGCGAGGTTTAGGAGTGTGTAAGTCGGGAATCGAGTCCGGAAGACGTGGATCAGTGGACAGCACTTTACTACTGAACCACCGACACATATGGAAAGTTTTCCTTACCTAATTGTTTTCACACTACAGGTTGACGTTTGTAGTTGTTGCAACAATCGGCAATATGGATTCAGCTTCCTGAAACCGTATTCCCATTTTGAAAATTATTTGAGGCATTTAGGTTACATGAGGATATAGAAATATTTCTGCTAAATTATCTTACGTAAAAAGTGTTAATCACATAAAGATAACAGATAGTGTCTGAATATACTAGAAAATTGAGGCATAAGATGATTATTAAGCCATAGCTTAACTATAATAATAACGGAGTCCCATCTGCTGAACTAAATAATACAAGTATGAAACTATTAAGAGACATAAACAGCCGACATTTTCTGGATTCATAGAGAATTCATAAAAATGCTCTTCAGTCCTTCCGCGGGAATTGTGATAAGTGCCCAAAAGTGTTTAGTTTAAACTGAATTACAAGAGTTCAGTTATCACAAGCTACAGAATAAAGAAAACTTTCGATATTATTTCAATAAGAAAGATTATCAGAAATCCTAATCACGTTTTGGGCTAATGAAATAAACATCTATTTAGTTGACGAGACGAAGAGAAGTTTATCTGTCATGGCACAGTCGCATATTATTTAATATTCCACTGTGTTATGTATGTGGTCAGCTCTAACGTTTTATTATGTAAATATTTGCAAGGAGAAGATATATTTGTATACTGACAAGCAGTGATAAAACACTGTCACTCAAGTGCCTGCAAAATCTAATTAATTACCTATGCATTTCACTGTCACATCTTAGTTCAAGTTTTCTCTCAGGCAGAGTTAATAACTGAACATAAAATTACACAGCTGATAATTCAGAACATGTTTTTGTAGTAAGTATAATCAAAGATCCTGCATTAAAGCTGCTAGTATCAATAGTCAATCATTTCAAAAGAATAAAACAGACTGAGCACTACTTTCAACCGTAATGCTGTTAGTGTACGGCAGAATTATGGTTAAACATTTGCTGTAACAATATTGGTCAGTTAATGGACGTTATCAAACATTCTTTCAATTCAGTGATGTAAGAATAAAACTTTTGCACTGTGGTAGAGTATAATTCCATTATGGGTAAAATTCAATTCAGTTCCTCAAATGTGTCATGACGAATTAAACTCTTTAAGAAAGTTATGTCAGGTTTAACGCGGAAATAGTTGGCATAAGATGTGGGATTACAGTACTAAATGAACAGCGGTTAGGACTCTTGCCAACCATGCATATGGTCCGGGGTTCGATCCCCAGCCGACGTACACCTGACATCAATGATAGGCCTGCAAAATTTGGGCTACCGATATCACATGCTGAAAATTCCATACTTGTACCAAAAATACTGTGTGGAATCAAGCTATAATCAAAATAAAGTAAAAATAAGTTGTGGTGATGCAAAGGTAAACTTTAGCCACACCTGATAAGTTTTGAAAAGTCATTGAAACAGTTGACTGCTGAGATGTGTTCTTTCTGATTGGACACTTGTCGGTAGCTAGTATAATGTATCTAAGCCTATCTTTGGTGCAGACTGAATTCTACCAGTGGAGTTTGCAATGCGGCCACCATGCTAGGTGGCTCGCCTTCACGGTGTACTGTGAATTATTGGCGTAAGATGGTTAGAGACAATCGGCAGGGAGCCTTGGACCTAGGTTTTGTGCTAGCTAGCACTCTTCAACAAGGCGTTTCTGCAACTTTGAAGGAACTCCTGTCCTTTCTGAGATTTAGACTGACTAGTGTCCAATAAAAATTATCCAGTACAGTCCTACAGGAGGTCAGTCACAAGCCCGAATAGCGCAGTGGTAAAGTATGTGACTGCAGGACAGGGTGGTGTTGGTTCGAATTTCTGAAGAGACAAGAGTTCTTGCAAGGTTTCAGATACGCCTCACTAAAGAGTATCAATAAGCACTTAACCAAGGTCCAAGGCTTCCTGCCGATTGCCTCTAAACTTCTAGTGCATTCTTTCTGCAAAAATCACTGCCACTTATTATATTTATTTTCAATTTCTAACTTTCATTCGGTGTTTTACGTTAACGTACTTAAATACATAATGATACCCTTAAATGAAATATTCCACTATACAGGCCAACTTCTCCTCTGTCTCTTTCTACTAATGCTTTATTGCTGACGTTAATTTTGAGTATAATGAAAATATGTACAAGCTCTTAAATGATAGCAAAAGCTGCATGTGCATATGTATGCACATTTTTCCGTTTTAATCTACATGAAAGAAGTAATCTTCTAATTTAAGGATAATAAAAAGAGAAAATAAAATCATCGTAAAACTGTTTATTGCTCTTCCGATATTCCGGAATTTATTCACAGTAGGCAAATGCTGTTAAGGTGGCCACCAACTGTGAACGATTGATGCTTTAACAATCTGACCCCTAATGGTAATATGAAATCAGGCCAAAACCTGCCAACAGTAACTATCACGTCCCAATTAGCACAGTCTAGTATTAATTTCGATTAAAATGTTTCCTATAAGTAACAGGCATATGTACGTTCGTACAGCCTCTAAGTAGGGAGGAAATATTTTCAGAAATGCGCAATACTTACTGATAAAATTATTAATTAAGAGGCTGCTACCTTAACCTCATTACAGTTAAGAAGTATTAAAGATACAGAATTTAAGGTCAACATTCTGTTTTATACACATATTCAGTCTAATTGTAAACAAAAAAGTCGGATTTCTTAAAGGTATTCTGCTGGTATTTTCCTGCAACACCGACAGGTTGTATGAATTTTGGATATATAAATTAGATCGCAGTTGTAAAGGAAATACATCAATCATTGAGATAGCCTATGTCATTCTCTTATTGACGTCTGAATATAAATGATGAAATGTTATTTGGTTGATGCTGGCTAGCAGAGGAATTCAAGATTCATGTTCCATGTTATTCAGGACTAGTCGGGTGGATGTACCTACATTTCCAATGACTGATATTGTTCTCACTAAGATTCTAAAATATCACCTCTAATCGCTTCAAAGGTGAAATTATTCTCTGCATAACGAGTGGGTGAAAACAGCCACCTTTTCTGCGAAAGGTATCATTTGTTATTCTTTGAAGTTATTTTGTATTTCTCAGTGGTTAATTTTAGTTGAATTGAAATAACAGGACTGTAGTAACATATTAGCTCCTAGTAACGAATGTTTGATGAATGCCTTGTCGCCTACGTCTTTCCCAGAATGCGACATTACTGAAAGTTGCTTGGGAGCTTATTAAGAGCAGATAAATTAAAATCCACCGTTAATACAATAGATATTGCTGTTCTAATTTTAATCAGATGAGCAAGAGAAACACCTCCCAATTAGAAGTCAAACAAATCAACCATTTAGGAGTGGAAGGTAGTTTACAGTATTTCAGAAATAGCTATTAGTGTATGAGTAGAATTTAAGCACTGTGGTAAAGTATAACTCCATAGATGGATTTATTTAATAAATCAAACAGTGATGTAGTAGTAATAAATGGATGGCATTTTGAGCACACCTTGTTCCTAGTAGTTATATCAATTTATTCACACACCTTCATAATTTACTTTATATAAATTTCCCACCTCTTCTTTCTTGTATATCGTAGTTTTCCATAGATTTGATGGAGGCGTTGTATCATCTTAATTGCATATGGGTCTAACTAGTAAATCGGTGTCAGTTCCATTGCCGGATAGCAGAAATTTAACTAGGCCTATAACGATTAACCTTGATAAATTTAGTCATCCGGAAAACAGATAGACCACTTAAATGCATTCGATTACATATAATCACACAGCAGGGTGGAACAGGGTGAAAGTATTAAAAATTGCTCTAATTAACTCGAAAGAGAGAGAGAGAGGGATTAATCACCAAATCTTTGTCCGTCGAATGAATACCGAACAAATGCAATCAAAATGACACAAAACTTATATAGTTTACATTGATTAAAACAAAAAGGAAGTGAGAAGAAATATATAAATGAAATTTTGAGGCCATGTGGATGAATCGATATGGCTATGGGTACAATATGTTGCTCGAAGTGTGCCTAACAGAAACTAGTTCATTTCCATGATTCTTGTGTCACAAAAGTCATGGAATTCGAAACTAAGCTGAGTGTTAAACAACTTGGATTCTGTCTTCTCTTTGATCTTTCGTGGTTTTTTCACATCATTTTGATTTCAAGAAAGGTGTGTCGTTTAACATTTTACGTAAGGAAGTTAAAACAATCTAGTGTCACTCAATCTCTACTTCTACAGTTTGTTAATTATTGTATCCTACCTACCCTTCTCTATTACCCCTTCTCAATCGTTTCTGGACTACCAAAGAAAGAATTCGCTACCCTGCTAAGGTCAATGAAAGCTAACAGCAAGATGAGCGGAATATCGTTAAACCGACTTTTCAGTGCCGTAGTAAATAGCTACCTCGACTCAAGCAAGAAATTAATGACTATTATCTTATCGGAACCTGTGCATCCTTTCTATACGCAACTCTCTCTCTGCATCTAGATCTAGAAACGACTATAAAAGACTATATGCATAGAAGGCTAAGTATAAAAACAACAATACCTTATGAGAGAAGCGTAAGTCAGGACATTATTAATTTACTGAAAAACATTAAGTGAACAGCACTTTTCTATTGTTTCTTTCATTAATATTATTGTTGTTAATACTTTCACTTAAATTTTAGCTTCATATTCATATTCTTTTGAAAAATATTATCAATGGTAATGCCTTGTTTAGCTGTCTTCGCTCAATACTCATGATCAGATGGACGGCCAGAAATGATCAGCAACCCTCTGGGAGCGAACCAATCCAGCAGAAATCGATTTTGCAACAAATAAGCAGGAAGGAATGGGGGTGGATTGGCCATACTCTAAGGAAACCATCAAGTGACATCACTAGACAGGCTCTCGAGTGGAACCCGAATGGCAAGCGTCGAGCTGGTTGTCAGTGCAAGGGTGACAAGGAGGAGGTCATGTGAAGAAAAGATGGAAGTATGTAGGCAGATGTAGAGTAAAGTGAAAACGTTGGCAGAGAACCAAACGCGATGGAGAGGTGTAGCTGAAGCTCAATGTTCCTCTAGGAACTAAAAGAAACTATAATAATATAGTAATAATGCCCAGTTTAATTATTTACCTCTCTACTATGTAAAGAGAAAATTCGCTACAGTATTGTACTACATGCTGAAAATTCCACATTGTAGCAAAAATCCACTTATTATTACTCTGTCACTGTATGTTATGTCAAATAAACTTAACTCTTTTACAGATATAAACACACCTCATATGCATCGTGACAATGTTTAATCCATTTTTACTTTTCTCCCCATAAGTTTCTCCTTATCAATAATGGTGAGTTGCATACAAACACAAACAGATCGTCTACTAATCCTGCCTAAGACAGTTTTTTTAATTTTGAATGAGACAATTTAATGATCTTTCCTGCATCCTATTTAAGCTTTTATACAATAACTAGTAATTAACTACAGGTCCAAGCATAATACAGCAATCACGTAGATCTCTAGGAGAAACAGGCATTTCGTCGTGTCTAAATACACAACTAGTTGCCTGCGAACGTGAAGAAACTTTATATACATATATATGTACTGCTTTGTTTAGTTACCAACGTGAAAACCACTTTGCACATCAAAAATTCATTTTGTGCAGTCAGGTGATTGTTTGAAATAAAGATTTTCAATCTACAACATTTTACAGATTAATGTTAAATATTATCGGTAAACTGAAAATTATTTTTTTTATATTTTCGTCTGCTAATACGTGATGTCTACCTTAGATACTGGATTAATAAAGGCATGGAAACGAAGATTTGTTAGCTTGACATAAGAATAAGTGAATGTTACATATACTTTTATCTCATTATTGTTTTGCTGGTTTTTTCACAGCATGCACCTATACCAATCAAACTAAATTTATTCACAAAATATTAAAGCACTTGCTGGCTATTTATATCCGGTTGACTGTTCAGACATTTAACTTCCTGGGAATGCTGAGAGATGAAGATTGACAACTGAAAAGAGATTTGACGTAAGTAACTACTTTGCAGTCGATGTATTTCACGGAAGCGAATTAATATGGAAAATCCCATAAATATACAAATACCTTTTCAATCATTCACCACAATTGTAAATCTAAATACTTAAAAATTAGCGATAATTTGCAGAAGAGAAGCTAGATGCTTCAAAGCAATTATTGAATCAGAGACATGACAAGACGATGCGTAGTCAGTTCGTCATTTACCAAGCTCTTGCAGAATATTCCTGGGAAACTGTTCACCCTGACTGGTAATTGAAGTTGATAATTATTTTATTGTTTACATTCCTTCCATATTTCGTAAACTCGCCTATCAAAACAAATATCAATCAGGGGCACTCCGTTGAACGACTTTGAGCTAAGTTAACTTATCACTGATTAAATGCTCATTAACAATGATAAGTTATTTTGAGTATGTGCTTTTTACTGCTCATTTTCCACAAATTGTCTCAGGCTTTTCACTTGTTTGCTTAACTTCAATGCTACTGAAATGTTAAATCTAGTCATTTCGAAGAAGCATTTCTTTCAGTGATGTTTTGCACACTGCCTCTCGCGTAACTGACATAAGGAGTGGCTTTATTGAACAGTCCTGTCATTAGAAGTATCGTAGTCCATAGCTATGGTGGTATAAGGACAAGTTGCACATAATGTATGCTTTTTAAGTGAAATTTCGGATCGAAAAACTTTGTCTGGTGTACATATTATTGGTGGCAATACATTGGTTCACTCCCATCATAAAATCTTGCCTGATACCGATATCTACGCAAAGTAATGGGTTAAAGAAGGTAGCAAATTCAAAAGTTAAACTCGTATCATTGAATTTTTATGGAAGCATGCTGATATATTCTGACCTATTTACTGAAACGCCCTAATACCCACCGCATAAAGGTGGCGCCGCTTCCAAAAAAAGAATTTGCCATATAATCACTCCAAAATAGATTGAACAGTTAGGAATAAATAAATTCGACTCATATATTTTCCAAAATATGCGTCATAATTCCTGATGGCCAGTTAGAGCTTAGAATGAATTACAGCGCCTTTACAAGATCGTTATACCATCAAATCTTTCATTTAAAATTAGACTGGTTTTGGCTAACAAGTGGCTTCGGTTTCGACTGGGTGACAAAAATCTAACCCTGAATTTTTCCATTTAATCAATAAAACCTTTGGATAAATCAACGATGACTAATTTTCTTTTCTACATATGCATGAGTTTATCAGTTAGAAACTATGTCAAACACTTGTGTTGCTCAAGAGTAAACATTTTCATCTCCACTGCTGTGCCGACATAAACCTAAATAAAATGGGAAATCAATAAATCCGAGAAGGTATACGGTGCACGTCAGACGAAAATCTTCTGAGGAAAACAATACATGCGAAAAGATTTCTTTTGCACATGTGACAGGCCCAGCATCTCGTTCCACATTCTTTATATTTATAATCCCTAATGATGCTAAGAAATTTCTCGTCATCATAATTTATGGATAGAATATTTTCTTCATTCCCGTATCTGAATAAATATTTTAGTTAGATGAGGAGAAAATATGTAATTCTTTAAATTATTATTTTAGGGATTTTTATCTTCTGATTTTATGTCTACTGACACATCAAAGGATATTCTCAAACAGCGCATGTACGATAATCTGCGGTACACTAAAACTTTGTAGTCAAAGGCCCGGAAGCATTGAAAATCTCAACAAATACCAAGACATTAGGTTATTAAATAAATCGATAAATCCAAGAAAAGGAATTAGCTAGGTTAGACGAAATATTGTTGAAAAAAGATGTAAAAACCTAGAGTTTATTATAACCTTACTTTAATTGATACATCATTTGGTAGAATGTTCTGTTGCTGCATAGTTCATCTAACTGTCTCAGTATTTTGTTATTTGAAGGAATATGCTGACAAGGAGCAGTGATTTTGATGATACAAGTGAACCATTCGTAGTTGATAACTTGAGCTGAAAAGAAACAAAACAATTCCATTTTAAGAAATGACTGCTTCGAACTTTGGAATCAATCGTTCATTAGGAAAGAATAAATAAGGTATGCATATTTGAATAAATCAGTCATGTTTCCACCTTGAAATACTCCAACGTAGACTGATGTTCACTTCGAAGTTTTGGGTTGCCATGTGTACACATTAAAAACGCTGTCTGATCCATGTATAGACTTGATTTACCAATTAGTAATTACCGCTTATGAGAAATAAATCATACATCATAAATATCTACCAGCTCGAGTTAGTGTCCGACTCAAAAGTGAATGAAAGACGATATCAAAAAATACCTTATTAGTGCTGAGTACCAAACTAAGGCTGCCACTATGTATTTAATAATGACTTCATGATGACAGTACATAAGAATTGGGTTTTTTGTAGGGATTTTGTTTGATTGCATGAAGGATTTCATCATGAGCTGACATCAGTTAGAGAACCACTGGAAAACCTGTGAGTACTGGACAGCTGCTTCGTGCTAGTTTGGGACTCTTCGGCAGTACACAACCACCGGGATTCGAACCCAGGACCTTCTGGTTACAAGGCGAGGTCGTAGACCACTGAGCCACTGGGACCCGATCCAGTGGTCCTTGAATTCTAACTTCTGCCAATTCACGACATAGCGCGAAATGGCTCAGTGTTCTACGAGCTCGCTTTGTAACCAGAAGGTCCTGGGTTCGAATCCCGGTGGGTGCATACTGATGAAAAGTCCCAAACTAGGACGAAACAGCTGTCCAGTACTCCCAGGTTTTCCAGTGGTTCTCTAACTGATGTCAGCTCATGATGAAATCCTCCATACAATCAGACAGTACATAATTCAAATGAAACTGAAACCTTCAGACTCTCAGAGTCAAAACTGAAAAAATGAGCTTAGGATTTGAGTTTCCCTACCCCCAATCCTAAGAAATCTTATCTATACATTTGTCTTTAGTAACTGAGCCTCTTCCAACCGATAACAAATGTTGATGTGGACTTCCATGTAAATTCTTCTTCTTGTTATCTTCGACTTCAATGCAGCGTTGTGAAATATTGAGGGCTTAAAGTGATAAACAATTTATGCGAATGTGTTGATTCCATTCAACAATCATTTCAGTGAAACCAGTTAAAATTACGAAATGATTAAGAGACTTGTAGAAACCTTTAAATATTCCCATTATTAATAATAGGGTAAGACATAAGCGAACAATATCGTTGTTTTCAATTAGATCTTCTTCAGCCCTTACTCTGATTTATATGGATTTATATATAAATATTTTCACCAATGACAGTGATTTTGTGGATCAAATAATAATAATGTGATAAATGTTTTGAACGTCATTAATAATGATGATTATAATGATAACAAAATAATGTCAATAAAGTTTATGCAGATGGCGATAAGAATAACGAAGGTAGTAAGTAATATGCGTATCCTTAGACAATTCAATAAATAAATTAGTTCAAATCTTAAAAGTTGCGTAATACTAAAGGTGAAGTGGACAGATAATCAGACTTTAAATAAATAACATAAAAATACGAAGGAGATGGAAAATAAGAAAGGGTGGGAGGATTTTGAAAAATTAGAATTTACCTAGGCCAAGGGAGAGACAAAGGTAGAACAAACTTCTTTTGTATGCAAAGACTAGGCTTGTTCTCTCGAATTCCCATAGCTTCGGCTATGTGTAAAAGACGGATTGGAATTCCGTTCAAAAAGCTCGAAGGAATGCGATAGATAACTTTGAAGGCACTACTTCTGTCCACTTGGTGACCACTATCAATCAAATGAGTCAAAACAAAGCTTCTCATAGATTTTATTTAACCTTTTCCGAATATCGGAGTCACGTTTATTCAGTCATTTAAAATTCTTACAAAAAGCTAGGACAGTAGGAATTAGCAATTGGCTGAAAATATAATTTCAAAGTTTCATAATGATGATAAAGTAGCGTAGACATTCAGCGTGAAATGATACATGGAAGTTCCAACAATAACAACAACAACTAAAATGTCAGCAACTCCCTTAGAATCAAACTGTTTGCAAAATTTTCAGTCTTCCTAAACTAAACTAACTAATTTTCCATAACTTTAATCTGTCTAGTCTACAAATAATACCAAAAGTAAACAGTTAACTGGTGAATCCTGTCCCAGTCAATATTTGTCACTACTTTGGTGGCCTAAATGACTTAGATTTTTTAAACAGATATTTTTGCATCATTAACTGAGAAATTCCAATGAATTTTTCCGTAGATTTGATTATGACTGGGATACGATGTTAGAAATTCTCTTTGGACACCTAAAAACAAGACGTTTACTTCCGTCCAAAACAAAACAGGCAGTAAGTGGGTGCTGCCATACTACTAGTAGACGACATATGATAAATCTGCTCCATGATCAGTTGCTTTGTCTGAGTGAGTTTCAATGAAGTTAGTGCTATATTCTGATTGACTACACACACAGTTTGTCTGTTCCGTTAATTTTGAGGCATTAAAATATCTTTCCAAAACTTCATAAAAATGAGTTATCTGCACTTAATCTTATTTTGATTGGAAACTAGGTAGTAACTAGTGTTGTCTGTCTATTCCTTCGTTTCATACGAACTTAATTTTATTAGTTCTATCAAACTTGACTGACAGAATTCAGTCTGCTTCAAACACAGGACTAGGCGCATGACAATGGCTACTGCACAAGGTTCAGTCAAAGTATCCATTATTATCCTACAGGAGGTGGATCGCGAGACTGAATAGCTAAGTGGCAACGTCTCTGACTGAAGCACAGGTTGAGCCGGGTACGAATTATCAGAGGGGATATGAATTCCTTTAAGACAGCAGTTATACCGTGTTAGTGAGGTCCGAGGCTTCCTGCCGATTCCCTTCAATCATCTAGAAGCACTTATTCAACTCATGTCAGCACGAATTTGTTTCTTATCGCCTTAAATTTACAAACAAAAGTTGTGGAATATGCATACCTATATGTGTGCATGCATATAATGTGCTAAATTTTATCTAGAATGCAGAAAAACCGTTTACTTTCTTCACTGTGATTCGTATTAGGTTACAAGTCAATGTTAATCATTTCAGAAATTAAGATAACTCGATTTTTCTTGTTTAATAAGTAATAAGCGTTCTGTGTAAGTGACCTACAGCAATAGTAAATGTAGGTGTTAACATGCCTAGCTAAACGTCGATCAAAAATACATACCTTTCGACTATTTTATCTTTCTCTATTTTAATACTGTCACTCAGGTCTTGTATGAATTAAACGATGATTAAGACCAACTAAATACTATGATAGAAATGGGGAATGGTTCAGACATAAAGGCTAGAAATGTCCACATTTTTTAATAAACAACATGATATGGGTGTTCTGCCAAGCTCTGCTGGACTATCTCTCAATAACATTCCAGTATGACTAAATAGAAAAACACCTGGGAGATTAGATTTACTTTGAGATGTATACATTAACCAAAGTTGTCTAATGTTGTTTATTTTGACAAAAAACTTAAGAAACTAAGATAATATGGAAAGCTTGGATATTATGTGCAACATAAACAACAGCTGTAAGTTGTTATGACTGATATTTTTTTAATAGCCAGCCAGCTCGGAATCTTATAGTCTACACTTCGTTCAGTTCATCTCAACACTTTTAATGAAAATCAGGTTTTCCTAATATGCAATAACAACGATAAGAATAATAAGACAGAGAGACAACCTTTGGGTTCAACAAAATATTTATTTAAAGCTCCATTTGTTAAAATTTCTATTCTTCGAGTTAATAGTCGGTAACTATTGTCACACTCACCATTAGAGCGGACAACTCGACGACCTCATGAGATTGACCTGATATTATTTGTCTGATTTTGGCTAAAGTAGAAGCTAGGATGCGCTGTTCGCTCTGTTTGAGGCTCATTAGATGCATTAGCCTGCATCTGATGTGAGCAGGACTCGAATCTGTCACTTGTCGATTCAAACGCCAAAGCGCTTCCACAGTTTTAGATCATATTTGTCATATTATGGATTTTTGATGCATATAACGGGATTAAAATGCTTTAATAAGATCATTCTGAATGATTAACCTTTTAATAATGTTTACTTTAGGCAGTCATCTACTGAAGGTTGCAATTAACTAGGCTATGGCTTACAGATAAGTGATTTTATGCTTTATAATAAACTGACGGATTTTTGCAAACAAAGGTGGGAGGAGTATATACTAGGCACACACTTTAATCATAATGTAAACTGTTGTAGATGAAAAAGAAATGCCAAAATGAAATTTTGTTTAGTCTATATTTTACAATGATTATTCAACGAGAAGAAATAAAGATGACCAGTAGAAAAATGCAGTAATTGCTTGTGTTGCATACAGAATTAATGAGAGTTTAAGCAATACGAAATAGGTAAAATAAAGTTTTGATAACCGTACTACATGTTTTTATAAGTACCTCATTAGACACTGTGCAAAGACAGCATAATTAGCATTTAAGTTAAACTAAATAAAATGGCTGCGTTAAAAGTGATTCAAATGAAATACAGTGAAAAAAAATGTTATCTTGTTTTGCAAAAGATGAATTTTTCTCAAATATAAATTCAATGGCATTTTCAGAGTACCCAACTTACACTCTCATCACAAATAAACAAACTTAAAAGGTGATGTGAATTGCGGATTCATTTTAAAAAAAATCAAGCCAATTAGGTAAAGCAAATTTTCACAGCATTAATTTAGCGATACAGAAAAGTGCATGCAAATCGATGAAAATAAAAAACCACAATGGATAAAATGTTTCTGTTCCCTTGATTTTTCAAGTTTATAAAGTAAAATAAATGTTCTTACTAATCAGTTATATATCCTTGTAATTTTGAGAAGGAAACAAGCAAATAAACAGTGTAAGATCATTTTTATTATTCGTCATTTAGGCTAAAAGACTTTTCAGAAACACATAAAGAAATATGGCAATATCATCACTATTAACAAGGTTATTTTCGGTATCATACA